GACTGTCCATTTCATTTTCACATTGACATTGTTTACATATTACAAGGGGCCTCGAGTGGCCGAGTGGTCTAGAGCGCTGTCCGTTACGGATCACTGCCATCTCACCTCTGTCTGCGTGGGTTCGAGTCTAGGATTCGGCGAATGTGGATATGTGAGAAAGCTTGCCAGTAGCTTCTCGTGGGTCGGTGGTTCTTTCCGGTGATTTCCCGGTTTCTTCCTCCACCATTAATACTGGCCGCCATGAATAGCCTATCGTGTGCTGAAAAATGGCGTAAAGCCCAACAACAACAACAACTACATATTACAACCTAGGCATAGCTGGGTATGTCGCAAGAAAAAAATTCACGTGACACCACTTCACGCATGGAAATGTCTGAATCCAATTTCTATTATGTTAATATTTTTCTATTAATTTTTACAGTTGTAGTCTAAGTCAGAGTCCATTTCGATATCAGCATAGGAGTTTCATTCGAAATTCGTTGTCTTTTCTCGTAGTCCATATTCCATAGTCCATATCCGTTTACCTAGGTCTCAAAGTTTATTGGTGTGATACCTCTCAGATTATCATCATATGAGGTACCGTCTAATGTTAAAACTTAAAGGGTTTTATGTATTTTGTATCTCCATTGTGTATGCGTTTTCTGTATTAAAAGATTTACTGAATTTCTATTAATTTTTAATTCGGGTATGTACACCATTCAAATTCATTATAACAGAGTTATTGCTTAATTTATGTTTTAATAATGCAGTAATTAGTATAGAGTAGCTATTTTGTTTCAGTATTTGTAGTCCGGATTTAAAATTAATAGCAGTTCAAAATCTTTATTTCTTGAAAATAAAAATGAATATATTACTAAGTTGCTTTAGCATAAGATTTCAAAGCAATTCATTTCATGAAGCATGGGCAACCTGCGCACCCTAGCTAGTGAGCATTATATGCCCGTGCAGCATGTTTACGATATAGCTATTTAATTATACATTTTAGTTCATAACTTCAATTTGTAGCTATTAGTTAATTATTTCATATATCAAAATTTAATCCACAATTATAGTAAAAAAAAAAACATTCGTAAAGACTTCTGTTATAAATATCAACGTACGTTTAAAAGCTGTAGAAGATATAGTACAGCAGTGTAAGCAGTCCAGAATGTATAGAAACTGTCTGTTAGTCCGTGTTTTAATTTTTTATTATTATTTTCTAAATATTTCAAAGTTCCTTTTCTATTGTAATTGAAGCATGTAAAGTTTTTGTCTGAATCAAGTTCCAATCAAAATGGTCAAGTTATGATGAATTTCAATGTAATTAAAATCCTTGGACGGTCCATATCATTTTCACATTGACATTGTTTACATATGATTCTTTCCACAACATCTGCTTAGCTGGGTCTGTCGCAAAAAAAAAAAAAAAAAAAAAAAAACCTCACACAACACCACTTCACGCATGGGAATGTCCGAATCCAATTTCTATTTTGTAATTATTTTTATTATTTTTTATATTTTCATCTAAATCAAAGTCCGTGGACGTTCCAGTTCTTTATCAGCATATGAATTTCACTTAAAATTAGTTGTCTTTTCTCGTAGTCCATATTCCATAGTCCATATCCGTTTCCAAGTAGACATCCAATTCAAAAGAAACGGTCCATAATGTAATGAACTGATTACACTGTGAGATATTTATTTACTGATAGAGCTCCACGTCGTCTGTGCAATTCCTGTATTCCCACATGTGACACATGATGAATCGAACTCACTGTTTTGAAATAATGTGGAATATACATCAATCACCCTCGGGTATCGTCGTACAACTCAAACGAAACCCGAGTACATGTTTTTAATAAAGAAATGTAAATACAAAATTCCGTGACAAGGACCATTAATTTATTGAAACTAGGCTTGTTACGGTCTGTAATGGCAATTTAGACTAGATAGCCGTGGTATCTGTTGAATTCCGATAGAACCATATCTTACATAACGAGGGAGAGTATTGATCTATTCCTCGTGACTGAAGATTTGAGTTGCTATTGTTCATATTTTTGGAAGGTGAGATAGCTTTGCAATACATATTAACATGGCGGGGCAGGACGTCTCACGTATTTACAAACCAAAGTGGACATAAAGATGGAAGAGCCAAAAGTGGGGCATTATTATACTTAGATGGTGAATTGTCAAAATTAGACTATATGAAAATAATTTGTTTATAATATCTACTATGAAAAAATGTGGGGCTTTATTATACTTAGATAATGAATTGTCAAAATTAGACTATATGAAAATAATTTGTTTATAATATCTACTATAAAAAATGTGGGCAAATTATAAGTATTAGAAAATAACATTGTCTCCTTAGCTTCTTTTAGATTTCTTTAATATATGTTAAAAATTAAAATGTTTTTTCCTATATCTATAGATAACTCTACACATGGAAGAAGTAAGAGACAAGGACATCGTAGGGTTATATCACATGGCGTTACGCGAGGTGGGCGGACCAGCGGAAGAGCCTCAGAAAACCCCATGTGTAGTTTTATATAAATTTTCGGATCTTTTAATGTATATTTGGAAATAAATGCGAAAAGATGGGGTGCTATAAAAGTAAAAGGAGGCACCCTATTTTCCTAGCAACAAATTTTGGAATAAAGGGGAGACGGAACTCCACACATACACACCGCAAAACATTAGAAATTTTTTTGTAAAAAAACAAAACCCAAATAAATTTATTATACACCGTCGAGTTCTAAAATAATAGAAAATTTCATAACTTTGATCAAATAAAAGAAAAGAAAATTAGTGATATGCATATAGTAGAAAGAATGCTGAAGTGAAAGAAGAATGGAGAATGGTGTGGAAAGAATCTGGTGCATATAATAAGAATAGACAACTGGGAGAATATGATATATAAGGTTGTCCTTATAAAAAAAAAACATATTATAGCAACATACAAGAGCACCCAACACATAGCATTCACATGACGTAAGGGACATCTAGCCAATGTCACCAAATAAAATAAGGGGAATGATTCCGATATGGAAAATGAAGCCCTATCGGATGAATGAACCTTTAGATACACTAGGGAAAATAAATACCCCATCAAAAAATGCTAAAATAAAAAAATGATCTAAATTCTTTTTGTAAATAGAAACATAGCAACGCATCAGGGAAGGGGGGGGGGACAGATGCACATACAATCTTTTTAGACATTTTTTTCAGTTAAGAGGCGGGGGTATCTGTCTGGTGCCCAAAAAAGAAAGTGGCGTGATACCAAAGAATTTGGAAAAGCCAGGGAAAAAGTGGAGAAGACCCAGACTTTCCGGCATAAGGAAGTCAAGAGGGACCGTCGCTGTGGAATGTGAACTGAGTCAAGACATCAGGTTCTGAATCGATACAAAGCAATGTTTTTGATCTTTCACTCGATTCGATGATGAATTAATTCTGGTATAATCATATTTGTTTATGAAATTCCTTGAATAAGTTAATTCAAAAGGAAATCAAATCGTAACGCATCATTACCTTTGTTTATGAATGCTATTGGTATGAATTTTTATTAAATTTTGTCGTTATTTGTAACGGGGGCTTGTGTCATTCTGTTCTATATATCTGATCAGATTTTTGTTTATTTTATCCATAAGTTTCACAATTGATGTTGATATTTTTTCGTTCCGGCCAAATTACACTAGATAAGGATAACCCTCCTCAACAAAGTTGAGGAGGTTGAGGAGGTTTATCCAACAGAATTCATTTTTACAGTTCATTTGTGATATACCATCATAATAACGTCTCTCTGGTCGATGGAACTTCTAGGGGTATTCCAGTGTTCTTCTTCCACCACATAAACTGGCTCCAGTGTTCTTCTTCCACCACATAAACTGGCCGTCACGAATAGTCAATCATTTACTGTAAAATGGCGATAATTAGCCTACATCAACCTACCAACCAATTAGGTCCCTGTTTCCTAACTCAGACTGTAAGTAAAAAAAATGGATATATGTCCCTGTTTACAAACCATGTGTGCAGTTTCCTGTTTGCAGAGCTTGTGTACAGCTTCCTGCTGACAAACCTTGTATACAGATCCGTTTTCAGACATTGCGTGTCCCAAGGAGTGCTTCGACCTCAAGCCGACGTGTAATCATTATTACAATGTGTGAAACATAAGGGAGCTCTTTGATACAGTTAGCATTTCTTATATTATAGACTTTCTGAAGGAAGTAAATATGTATTATAAGTAATAGCTTTTATTTTATCACCTTGAAGAGTTGTTTGCACTATATTTACCGTCGCTAGATTTTAATTATCTTTAATATGTTTTCGTTGTTATACATCATTTGCACTCTCCGTTGAGCGGGAAATTTCATTCATCCCCGTTATCATCGTTTTACCTTAAACTGTTTGGTTTCGTAGCACAGGTTGATATGAAAACTTTTACCATTTTTAAATGATAAAAGGTATAACCTTTTGTGTGGTACTAAAAACCTTTTGTGTGGTACTAAATAGCTTCATAGCGCTGATGCGCCGTTAAAGTTCAACCAGCCAACCAACCAACCAACCAACCAACCAACCAACCAACCAACCAACCTAACCAATTAGACATTGTGAATTGGTCTTTGTACAGTTCGCTAACTGCAGACATGGTATACATGTCCCTGTTTGTAGACCTTGGGTACAGGTTCCTTTTTGCAGACCTTGTGTACAGGTCCCTGATTGCAGACAATGTATGCAGGTCTAATTCCGCATCCTTTGCAAACGTAATTTTTACAAACATATTTCTTTGGAAGGTGACTCATGTTTTCCGATGCAGATATGCAAATTACTATACCAAAATAATAAAGTCATTACAGTCATTCTGCAAAAAGACACTCAAACATACAAAAAAGTGTTGCTGGTTTTTAAATTAGACGCCTTCATTTCACGAATTCATTAACGTAAAGGAGAGAAAATAAAGTATGACCGAGTGTGCAATATAAATGTATTTATAAACAAAACTCCACATTTATCCCGCATTTCCCACCACTGTGGTAGCCTAGTGGTTAGAGCGACCGCCTCAGAGGCGGGAGGTCGTGGGTTCGAACACACACACACACACACATACACACACACACACTACCTTTGTCAGAAATGATATAATTATCATTTGGATTAACTTTTTTAAAATCTCGATCAAGGAAAATAATTGAGAACTTTATGAAATTAGGTTTTAAGTATCTAGGTTAATAAGTTTCATTTGCACCCAGGATTCAGAATGTAACGGTTTCTTTCTGACATCTTAACTAATTCGAATTTTCATGCATATATCTGCTTTAAACGTCAACTATACGAAGAAATCGCATGTATGTCTAAAATCAACTGCATTTTGAGGTCTTACAAACCAAAAATATCCGCGTTTGGAGATCTCATTAACCAAAAACTTTTTGAGGTTTCATAATCCACAAACATCGGATTTTTGATGTCTCATAATCCACAAACATCCGCTTTTTAAAGTCTCATAATCCACAAACATGCGCTTTTTGAGGTCCAATACAGAAAACTGTTTTGCAGAATAGGCCCCAGTTAAGTACATGTGTTTCTGAAGGCCAGCTGTTTTCACTTCTAAATTGTAACCAGGTACAATTTGTCTGTTTTCAATCAAAACTTAAACAAAGCGGAAAAACAATCTTGTTAAAAATCACACTGCACATTAAAGCCATAAACAAGGTCCCTTGCCACCCAAATCCTATTACCAAGCTTAATCTCAGTGTACTTACTGTAGATATAAAACAGACTAGGGCTTAGTGTAATCAAGATGCAGGTGTACTTGATATTTATAAACGATAGAATTGTGAAGGAATTTATCTCACGAAACCTGTAGCTTTTTGTTACTGTTAATGCAAAAACGCGAATTTGAATTTAATGAATTTAATGAACAAAAAATTACGAGACAGACTGGAAACGGTAGAGCTACCCCAATCTCCATTTTTTTGGGAGGAAAACGTGTAACAGAAACATCATGAAGATTATTAGTTATTTAGTTTATATTTGTGGATTAGAGATATATAATTGTACGCTATATTATCATTTTTTATTTAACTATAAAGTAAAATATGGTAACTTGCTGAGTTCGTGTGCGCACCAGTTGCACGTGATATTGTAAGGGTACAGTCATATGAGGGTGTCGACATGATTGTTAGTGTTTATGTGGAATATTTTGTATGACTTGGGAATACTTTGATATGAATAAGCTTTTAAGTGCTTGTGTCAGCGGTATCTTTAAGGGAGATAATAAATAAGGGAGATAATAAACATAGGTTTTGTTTTGGTGTGTCCATTCCATTTGTTGTTTTGTCTTGCGTATTGGTAGCTGCGGTGTCACAGGTACATCATAACTAAAATGATTTTTGGTAGTAGTAGTAGTAGTAGTAGTGGTGGTAGTTTTTGTTGCTTTAGTAGTACTTAAACAAATTCATCCTACAAGCACTAGTAAAACTGAATTTACTGTAGTAGCAGCAGTAGTGGTGGTTGTGGTAGTACTAGTAGTGGAAGTGGCGACGGCAGTATATATGTCACACATATTTAAATTTTTTCAACGCTAGCTTACAATTACAGTTTTTATTCCAGCCGTGGTCATTATACCGTATATCTTGATTATATAACGTCAGCAGAGCACGGAAGGAAATATTCATTATGGTAAATTCGAATTACTAAAAGTACCAATATCATATTATTGTTTTGGCTTATGTTTTATTACTTTTGTAAACAGCACTGATACATTTGGAGAGAAAAAAAACCCTGCCAGAATACATACTGAATTTATTATGTTTGGATCAACTTGATTATATCATATGATTACCTGCAATTAGAGACCACCTGTTTCTATTGGCAGGAACGGTGGTATTTTATAACATGATTCCCATACAAAGTCCGATTTCTTTGTCTTTATACATGCTATCTTTAGAACTGACCAGAATATACACTATTTATTGAATACAAATATAAAATGAAATTGGACATACGGATCAGGTAGATATTGAGAGAGAGAGAGAGAGAGAGAGAGAGAGAGAGAGAGAGAGAGAGAGAGAGAGAGAGAGAGAGAGAGAGAGAGAGATTACAAAGTAAACGAATATTAAATATCTTGTTCTATTGTCAATTTGTTACATATTGTTAAGAATAATAGTGTAATCGCTCAATCATATTAGTCAGAAAGAATTGCAAAACATAATCTATAATGTGCTAATCGAAAGACATATGACCCAAATATATAGCGTGACGACAAAAATGGGAAACCTTACCTTTAAGAGTGGTCGCAAGTCGCAACTATAATAACACTAAAACAACTGTAATTCTGTGATGGTATTTTTGGCAATGAATCTTTGCTATGTGACAGTAATGTTATAAAAAAATGTTTATTGAGAAAGATTTATTATGTTTGTTTTAGCTGATGAAAAATCTCTTGTCCCGGTAGTATACACCCAGCGAGTCATAAGAAAAGCATGATTTTTATGTATACATTTTATCCTGTCTGAGTTCCTTTTTTAAATATCATTTCATAGGATGACTTCATGCCTCACGATCTTGTCAATAGCATTAACTTGTTTCCTTTATGGCACAACCTCGTGCACTTGTATGTAAATTTAATCGTGAAGACTGTTATTTTGTGGATGAAGAGCACAAATTAAACAGTCTCTGTTCTTTTTTCAAATGTACCTGTCAAGTACAATTACTGTCATGCCTAGTTTCTTTCATTTCTGTCGCTGTCTATTTCATAATCAAAGGTTATCTGACAAGTATAGGTTAATCTCCCGGTATCACCATGGTCCTGCACTGATACTTAAAAACAAAGAACATAGATATCAAAGGTCTCTCTCTCTCTCTCTCTCTCTCTCTCTCTCTCTCTCTCTCTCTCTCTCTCTCTCTCTCTCTCTCTCTCTCTCTCTGATTAAATATTTCAACGCATAATTAAGCATAAGTGTCATTACATTAAAAAATAAACTTAATATTTACAGTGCTAATAATTTACATGAGGTAGTTTTCTGCAAGTAGTATACTCATTCAGTATTAGTTCAGTTCCAAGTTAGTCACGTAATTTTTTAACTTTTTGCATGCAATTAGCAATTAGTATATGAGAGAGAGAGAGAGAGAGAGAGAGAGAGAGAGAGAGAGAGAGAGAGAGAGAGAGAGAGAGAGAGAGAGAGAGAGAGAGAGAGAGAGAGAGAGATGGGTATTTAGATGGGGGCAACGAAGCAGTAGTGTAGAGTAAATGATCCTTCCAACGGATTATGTCACCCTAGGCGAACCATAACATTTACTTGGATGTTACTTGTTGCTTGACAACAGTCATATGGGTGTTACTTATTGCTTGACGACAGCCATATGGGTGTTACTTATTGCTTGACGACAGCCATATGGGTATTACTTATTGCTTGACAACTGTCATACGGGTATTACGTATTGCTTGACAACATTCATACGAGTATTACTTATTGCTTGACAACTGTCATACGGGTATTACGTATTGCTTGACAACATTCATACGGGTATTACTTATTGCTTGACAGCAGCCAGACGGTTATTACTTATTGTTTGACAACAGTCATGCGGTTATTACTTATTGCTTGACAGCAGTCATACGGGTATTATTGTTTGCTTAACAACTATCATACGGGCATTTCTTATTAAAGGTTTACTGAGTGAGACTCGTATCGAATCAACCTAGTATTAATAAAAAGCCAAACGACACGATGAATGTTGCTATATATTCTCTACATTTGTTTCTCAGTACTGAATTTTCCACTGTGTGACAATAAATGCAAATCATATGTTAATCTACAATACCTTCAAAGATGACTTCCCTGTGAAGTTCTATGCAAGGGTTCACCAGCCTTTTTTTGAGAGGCTGAATTGTAAACATAGCAACATACAATGGAACACAGATTTCACTTCCGAATCATCACCTAGGCCTTATTACTTACTGTGCACAGTCGCCGAAACACATAGACAACCATACCATAAGCTCATATTCTTAAGAATAAACAACTACCTTCAAATCTCTACTAAATATGCACCAATAAAACTCTTCTATCACCACGAAAATGAGAGAGGAAAATATGTTCTAAAAATAGACTAGAACTCTAGAACTACATTCTAAACTGGAAGTACTAATTGTGACCCGGTGCCAAAAAGAGGGTTATAAGGTGTTGTAGGCTAATGAATGACCTATTTTATTTACTGATGTATTAGGTAACTTGTTACGAACTATTAGATAGTATTTAGTCTTGTAATGGGAAACTCTCTAATGTACAAAGCGCAAAAATCTACCGGATGACCTTTCGTATTACCTCAGTGAGATTCGAGTGCTCTAATATAAAGTGAAACAGAACGATGGCGACAGGCCTGGTTATCTGGGGATGATCAAGTACATTTTCAAATTGTTTTTATGAATGCTCTTTACCGTTTTGGAGCTAGGACGCCATTTTCCAAAGACAGTGTATCATACAGTCATCAGATGATTGGAACAGAAGGCTCTTTTCAGGTGCCTAATACAGTATATATATATATATATATATATATATATATATATATATATATATATATATATATATATATATATATATATATATAAATATATATATATATATATATATATATATATATATATATATATATATATATATATATATATATATATATATATATATATATATATATATAACGCCTGCCGCTTACGTAAAGGTCCTTGTCCTTAAAAATCTGAGTTTTTATTTGATAAAATAAATACACGGCTGACCCAAGAAATTTTAGCGAATCCCAATATACCTGGAAATTAATTCCTGACAAGCAAGTCGTGTGTGTGTATGTTTGTGTGTGTGTGTGTGTGTGTGTGTGTTTGATTTGGATTTTTAAAATTTTTAGTCCTATCGTTACGATATCTGCAGTGTGGCAGTTTCTATGATGTCTAGAACTGGAGCATCATGCCGCAGACATGTAGCGTGATATATCAGTCAGTCAAATATCTCGACACCAGGCCGACCAGTCCTAACACTAACCTCTTAATGCTGAGCGCCAAGCGTGCAGGAATAAATAAAATGTCACACACTATGGAAAATTCGTCGGA